ACTCTTAAGTGAAATAAATAGGACACACATGTAAATACTGAATAGTTTCTCTAGTGTGAGAAACTGAAAGTGTAAATAAGGATTAAAAGGTATAATAGATAATGTGAAATAGGAAGAAAAGGTGCAAAGGGGAGGGGGAAGTGGGAGGGGTAGGGGAACAGAAAGAAGGGAATGGGATTAATATGAGAAAATGAAAAAAAAGGAAACAAAGTCTTTGTAAATAGGAAGGGATGGAGGGGTTGAAGGGAGGGCAGGGGAAGGGAGAAAAAATAAGAAAAATAAAAAATAAGAACCAAGAGGGTATGTAAAGGTGCATATCTCCAATGATGAATGTCATTATATGGTACACCTAAAATGTACCAATAAAAGTATATACAAAAAAAAATTAAAATAAAAAATAAAAACTGGACTAGTATTTGACTACTTCTTTAAAGTGTCAAGGTCATCAAATACATGGAAAGTTCAAGAAACTCTCATAAGCAAGAAGAAGAACCTATAGAGATGTAATATGGCAACCTGGATGGGATCTTGGAATAGAAAAAGGACATCAAGTTTTATATGAACTATGTATGCAATTTAGTTAATAATATTGTGTGACTATTGGTTTATTGTGAAAAATGTGCCACACGAATGTAAGATGTTAATAGAGTATATGGAAATTCTGTATTTTCTTTGTAGTAATTCCGTAAAACTACAATTGTCCTAAAATAAAAGTTTATTTAAAAATACTATAAGCAAATAAAAGGCTACCGAAGAGCCGGGGGAAAACACACAGGTAGAGAAATCTGTTGAAATGGGAAGGTAGGCTTTAACAGGAATTTCCTGAGAGATAATTCCCAAGACTAAAGTGTCAGCAGATGAGAGATTATCAGGTGAAAATAGCATAGCATCTGGTCATTCTGATGTTTTTTCCTGGCTCATTTTCCATCATTTAAATCTTGTGAAGGTGGCTACATGCAAAAACACACAAAAAGAATGGAAAAGAGTATTTCGTATGAACTTTATAAAATACTAAGACCCAAGTGACAATTGGGTACTACTCATCTGGTTAAAGGTAATTCTATCATAAGAGGAATTCCCCACCTGTTGTTGGGACACAATGTTCACCCTGGTTTCTAACCCACCACCAGCAGCAGGAATCTTCTGGGGTGGGACACACAGGATCCATGGGAAGAAGAGTAGTACTCCGGAAACAGGGGAAAAGAGAGAGACAAGACAGGGCTCCGTGGGCTGCAGAAGCAGAAGGATGAGCAGACACTACTACTACTACTGAAGCCTGGAGGCTTGTAGTACTACTACTACTACTACTACTACTACAAGTGAGACCTCCTTCAGCTGTTTCCCAAATGTCTGAAAATGTACTGTTCTGCTTTTGTAGGGGTGGGGGTCGGAGCCAGCTCACCATACCTCACATACTCAATACCTCATGTAATCTTTCCCACAGCCCTGGAAGGCAAGTTTGATTGCCATTTCACAGGTGACAAGGCTGTCCCTTTCAGCAGTGAGTCTATAGCAACCATTAGGTTGATTCACCCAGAGGTAATGCAACTTCTACCTATCATTTTATATCCTGATAAGATTTTGTTTTTGAGACAGGGTCTCGCTATGTAGTTCAGGCTGGCTTCGAACTAGCAGCAATCCTCCTGCTTCAGCCTCTCCAGTGCTGGGATTACAGGTGTGCGCTACCAAGCCCAGCATTCTGATAAGAATTTTGTCTCTACTGCCTTTATAAACTCACTGGAGAGTTCTCTTAATTATTTATTATTCTCCTGTTTATCTTTTATTTTAATGATTCAAATAGTCTGTTTTTAGGAGACAGTGGACAGGTGAACAATAAAGAATATAAAAAAACACCCACAGGTAACCACTGTTAATCTTCTACTGAATACAACTTTCAGATTTGTTTTCTCTCTATATATATTACTAAGTAAATATCTTCTGTAGTTTCACAAAAGTGGGCTGATGTCATATATATGGTTCTGCAAATTATATTTTCAAAAATTTTACAATGCATAATAAACATTTTTCTATACAACAAATGAAAATCAGCTACTGACAGAATTTTGCAGTTGGGTCAAAACAGCTGCTGGTAAAAGGAGGAATGCTTAAAGCAAAGTTTTAGCATAAGGTTAAGGCAAAGGGATTGGCACATGCCTGCCAGGAACACTATGCATAAGGAATGTTTTCAGTGTCGCTTCATGGTGCCCTGCAGCCACCCCTGAATTCTCCTGGGACCCTTGGGTAAAAGGGGTCCTGTAATTTTCTTTGCACCCAGAACAACCATCCTAATTTCTGTTCAATTTTTCTCCTGTCATCCTTTACTTTAGCCATATTGTCAAATTCTCTTATTATACCCTCGTTGATGAAACTCATATCATGTATGGCCTCTTTATATTCCTTGAGGTGCTGAGCCAACCCCTTGTTTGTTTTTCTTTTGGCTTTTCTGGGTATGTCGTCCTCAGCAGGGTGCTTGCCTGCAGCTCCCTTTTGCCTCTCTGGGCTTCCCTGGCTTACTGGTTTTCCTTCCTTTTTTGCCTTTGTCTCACTCTCTGGCTGTTCCTTATCCTTTAGCATTTCCTCATCTTCCATCATACCATTTTGCAATATTTCCTTGAATTCTGGAGTACAAGTTTCTGGTTTTCTCGTTGTGTTGCTATTGTTAGTTTCCCATCTTTCTTTGGTTTGAAGTGCCTTCTATCATTTTCACTGTGGAGTTTTTCCAGCTCGAGATTTCCCATTCTGTTCCAGTCTTGGGTGTAGGGATGGAGGGAAGAGGAGAAAAAGAGGAGACATAGGAGACTGAGGGCACAGGGTTGGAACCTAGGTCCAGATAGGACTTACATCTCCCTTCTGAGGGTTCCCCTAAGCTGGCCTGGACTCCTCGTGTGCCTTCTGCCCTCCACTCACACCACATTCCTCCTATCACTGAGAGCCAACAAGTCCCTGGCAGACCCTGTCACTTTCTCTGCGCTCCTTCAGCATGGCAAGATGTATGCACTGTATGTTGTGGGGGCGGGCATACTGGGCCCCACATGCTGCCCCACCCAGGCCTGGGGGTGGAGGGAGGCAGTTTCCTCTGCACTCTCAACCTCTGGGTCCTTTTCCATGCAGCAGCCCTTCCACTGACCTGCGGGAATCCTGGGCAGGTGGCTCCTTCTCTTCAGGCCTCACAAAGCGCTGGCCACAACAGATGGGCAGACCTACAGACACAGGACACTGTGGGGGCGGGGGGGCGACACGACACAATAGTTTCACACTCAGCGGGCTCCCAGAGACTCGAGTCCCTTTTCTGAATCCGGGCCCTCCTCACAGCCATTTCCCTCCATCACGCCCTCCTTCCTCACTCCAGATGCCCTTCCAAACTGCGTACCTGCTTATCCTTCTCTCCTATGAGTCCCCACACTGGCGGTCAACATTTTTTTTTTTTTTTTTTTGGTACCGGGGATCGAATTCGGTTCCTTGCGCTTGCGCAGCAGGCGGCGAAACCACTGAGCTGAATCCCCGGCAACATTTTTCTCTACATATGGAAAGGGGCTCTTTCCACTGTCTCACTGCTGAGGCACCTCCCAGCCCGCCACCTCGCACTTGAAAATGGACAGAGGGCAGGGGAGGTGCTTAGAAGACAGGTGTGGCTACTTGGGGTATCTTTTTCTGCCCCCTGCCACAGGCTACAGGTCCCCCTTAGCCACTCTTTCTCCACTGCTATCGCTATCTACATTCCAGCCAACTTCCCTGAACCCGAAGTTCACCTACAACTTTCTCTCTATCATCCTCAAGCCCCTCTCCACTCTTGCGTTCAGCTAGCCGCTGGGAAGGCTCTCACACCGACTTGAGAAAAACTGGAGCAGCAATTAGTAGCCCAGCGACCAGAGCGGCGGGCTCAGAACTGCAGTGACCTGAGATAGGTCCCTCAGCCAACTGGCAGGTCACGTGAATGCTCTGCGGCAACACAGTCCACACCTCCTCACCCCACCCATTAGTGGGCGGCTACTTGTCACAGGTCACACACCACCTCTCTCTCTCTCTCTCTCTTTTTTTTTCCGGTAGGAGGGCTCAAACTCTGGACTTTGCGCTTTCAAGGCAGGGGGCGGAACCACTGAGCTAAATCCCCGACCCTCCCACCACCTCTCTTGACAGGTGCTTCTCTGGGTCCTTTTGTCTTTTTCTTTTTGCTGAGAGGATGGTCAAAGAAAGAATTTTAATAAACACAACAAAGGTTTTTTTTTTTTAATAGTTTGGGCGGTCGGAAGGAGGAGTCTTGACAACAACGTTGCTTATAAATTCCCCTGCAAGAACAAAGAACATAGACCTTTGCTCGATTGGATGGTATAAACGTGAACTTAATTATTGTATGGAGAATAGAATATTGCACTTTAGAAAAAAATTATGAATTTTACCCCCAAATAATGAAAATTTCCCTTTGCCCTGACATGCACAAAACGAACAAAGCATGAAATTATGTTTAAAGGTAATAAAAGAACAACTAATTTATCTTAAATGCAAAACAATATACAAAGGATAATGACCAGACCATATATGACAAAAGAACTGAGACCCATAGTCTTTGCAGCAAGCTGCCCAAACTACAGCTTTGGGATTTGAAGACTGATCAACTTGCCAGTCTTCCCATTTTTTTGACCATGACTAACAAGAAAATGCCAGTTAGCCCTAAACAATGACAAGGATATCCTGCAACAAGTTTATCTTCCTCCAATTTCCCAATGCCAACAAATTCCAATCAGATCATACCTGAAGTTTTCTGTTTTCTTCCTCTAAAATACAGTTTTTCCACTCCTTTTCCTGCCCTTGAATCACTGCCAAACACACTTGTGATGGTAGGTGACATCTTTGCTGTACTGTAATAAGCTGTGAATAAGTAGCCTGTTTGTTCTTATGTGGATAGTTTCCCTTTATCTACACATAAGCTTTTGGTGTAGAAGATTTTTAAGTATATAATAACAAAGAGATGAACAACTCAAAGATTTGATTACATGAAAATTTGTAACAGAGTTTTTGAGGAAGAGAGGACACATGTACTCTCCCTTACTCTTGTTCAGTGTACTGGCAAAATTTTTTGGAAGGTGAACTTCGTAAATTGTTGAAAAATAAAAATATTTGACTTTTTGGCCTAGTAATTCCACTTCTAATATTGATCCATGGATATATAGGTGCTAAAATATAATATTGTTTAAAATGTTTCAGGTTTTAAAAAATTCCTGTAACAATTATTTGCTGAGCATTTATTCTTTGCTAGTACTGGGGCTTTAGTAATGATTCTATTGGTTTCATTTATAACAGAAAAGTATAGAACATCAGAAGTGTCTATCAATACAGGCTTAATTACATAAACTTCTTAGTACATCTATTACCTGTTTATTTGGGGGTGTTTACCTTATAAAAATGATTTATAATTATATATTGCCATTTAATACACAGTAAAAGTAACTATGGTCACTTACCCATCATCCCAACGAATGGTGGTACTATTATGGGTTCACAGAGGGCAGCCGTAGAGTAAGGTATTACCCTCCATAAAATGCCACTTAAGTGTCAGGCACTGAGCTAGCACCTCATCTTGCCTGGTGTGGTATTTCACTTATCCTTGATGGGAAAAGTCACACTTCAAGGAAGCATAATGAATTATAAAACTACCATGTTAACTCAGTGTAGTATTGGCATATGTATGGTAAGAGGAATAAAATAGAGAAAATTAACACACCTATCAATTTTAGTGTATGATAGCAAAATATTTCTAATCACTAGTGACAAATAGGTTATTACAGAAATTATATTTGTGTAATTACTTAAATATTTGAGGAAAATGAAAAGCTTTATTTTCTGGCATATATTCAAATCCTTTCAGAGTAGGCAAGAGAAATAAAATAAAAGACATCCATACTGGAAGAAAAGAAGTAAAACTATTTCCAGTAGAGATCATATTGATTATAGAAAATCCAGAAGAATACATTGAAGAACTGTAAGAAATAATAAATGAGTTCAACAATAAAGCAGAATGCAAAATTGATATATAAAAATCAAAAAAAATTTTTTTTGGTACCGGGGATCAAACTCAGGTTCTTGTGCTTGCGAAGCAGGCGGCGAAACCACTGAGCTAAATCCCCAGCCCATAAAAATCAAATTTTTATTTGTATATGCATACAATAAACAATTCAGAGGATAGTAAAAAAACCAATTCCATTTAAAATAGTATCAAAAGGAAAAACACTTAGAAATAATTTTTTAAAAGCCCTAGATTTGTATAACAAAAACTACAAAATGTTGGAAGAAATAAAAGAATACCTAAATGAATGGAAAAACTTCCTATGTTCATAGATCAGAAGACTTCATGTTGTTAAAATGAGCAATATTTTATAAAGTGGTCCACAGATTAAACATAATCTGTATAAAAATCTCAGCCGACTTCTTTGTGGAAATTGACAAGGTGATCCCCAAATCCATATGGCAATCCAAAGAATGAAGAATAGAATAAATGAGTTTGAAGAAGGACAAAGTTGGAAACCTCACACTTCCAGATACTTCATTTTAGGAAATACCTTCTTAGATATGAAACCACAAGCTCAAGTGAAAAAAGAAACTTAAGTAGATTGGATTTTATCAAATGGAAAATTTTTTGGATTCAAAGGACACCATTGAGAAAGTGAAAAGACAGACAAAAGAAGGAGCGAAAATTTTTGCATGTGATGTGGCTGAGAAGGGACTTTTATCTATAACATACAAAGAAATCTTACAAATAAATAAGAAAAAAGATTATTCAATCTTAAAATGGGCCAAGAATTGGAGTACATATTTCTTCAAAGAAAAATATACAAATGGCCAGTAAGCACATGAAGAAATGCCCAACATCATTAGCCATCAAAAAATTGCGAGCCAGGGATTTAGCTCAGTGGTTCCGGCTCCTGCCTCGCAAGCGTAAGATCCCGAGTTTGATCCCTGGCACCAAAAAAAAAAAAAAAGAAAAGAAAATACGAATGAGAACCACAATGAGATTGCACTTCATGTCCACTAGAATAGGTCAAAATGGAGAGATAATAAACAGGTTTTTGCAAATATATGGGGAAATCTAAACCATTATATATTGTAGGTGAAAATGTCAAATAGTGTACTCCTGTGGAAAGCAGTCTGGTAGTTTCTCAAAATGTTAAATGTATACTTACCATATGACTTAACTATTCCACAAGTATGTATGTAGTCAAGTGAAAGGAAACTATATGGCCATACAAAACTTTCAAGGCACATTTGTCTGGAAACATCATTCATATACTTAGTGAAAATATTACAAGCATCTATCACCTAACAAACTGATAAATTAAATATAGTATATCCATACAAAGTAGTATTATTTGGCAATAAAAATGGAGTAAGTGCTAATGCACTATCACACACGAACTTTGGAAACATTGTGCTAAGAGAAAGAAGACAGTCAGAAATGATTACATATTGTATGACTATATTAATTGAAATGCCTAGAATAGGTATATCCATAGAGACAGAAAGTAGCCAAGTGATAGGGTCGGGGAGGACTAAAGGAAAATAAACAGTGACTGCTAATGGGCAAGACATTTCTTTTTGGGGTTATGAAAGAATTCTAAGATTGAGTGTGTTGATGGCTGCACAACTCTGGCATATGTTAAAAATCTTTAATTATGTATTTTTAGTGGATGCATAATATGGTATGATAATTATATCTCAATATATCTGCTATAAAAGTCTGTCATAATTTAGATAATTTCAAAGTATTCTATTATACAACAAGCTGAATTAAAATCACATCATTTATTCTCTACTGTAGATGTTTTTGTATTAATGTCAGGGTATTTTTCTGATCACCTCTCTGGATTTATTCTAAGACATTAAATTGATGGATCAAATATTCTTTTAAGTTTCTTGATATATGAACTCCATGTTAATTCCATGCTGTTAATTCTAAAAAATTCAGAAAAACACAAACATATAATGTAAAAAGTATAAATGTATGCTGCAATTATTAACTTTTTCTGTGCTTGTTGCATAGAAATTATATATTTAATTAAATTATACCATCCACATTGTTTTACTACTTAATTTCTCTTCTTAAAAGTATATCTTTAGCACATTTCCATATAGCTATACATAGAATTACTTTATACATTTTAATGGCTGCACATTAATCTACTGTGTGTGTGTGTGTGTGTGTGTGTGTGTGTGTGTGTGATGCTAAGGGCTGAACCAAGGACTTCACACACTTCGCACAGCAATTCTACCATTGAGTGACATCTTCAGCACTATTGTACTTTTGAAACTTACTAAAATTTTTTACCCAACCTCTAATTAATATTAGAAATTCTCCATATTTTTACTATTAACATTGCTCTAATAAATATCTATATGCAGGTTGCATCCATTTCTACACCTGGGGAAGATATTTAATTTTTAAAAATAACATATCCCATTCCACATGTGAACATACCGCTCTTCTGGTTGACAAATGTAGACTATGTCTCTTGCCTTTAAATCTGGGAGGACCTGTGGTTGTTTTGATCAATACAGTATGGTGAAAATCGCTTTGTGTGACTTCTGATGCTAGGCCCAAAAGACCATAATCTGCTTGGTACTTTTGGGAAGTACCAAGGGACATGAAGGCATCATGTAACAATTCTGCTTATTCTGAGAACATCATGCTAAAAAGTCCATGTATATGCTCTCCCACTGACAGCTCCAGCTGAGTTCTAATTCAGCAGGCAGAATAACTGTGATCCATGTGAGTGAGCCCTCTTGGATTTCCATCCCAGTCCCGCTTTCAGATAGAACTGCCATCTGCCCTCAGGATTGTGAGAGACTACAAATAAGAACCTAGCAGCTGAACATTTCCTG